GGGCGATATCCTCATCCTTTTCCGGCCTCGAAAAGGGACGAGGGGGTTATCTTTTAGACTCATCACTACAAGACGGTCACGAAAAGAGGGATATGCATTTGTATGTCCAGTTATATAACATCCCCTCGTCCCCACATCCCGCCATGCCGGCGATAGATTAGCGTATCGGCCCTGGATTTGCGTTCTTCGCGGGCATTGAATCCGACGTTTGCCGTTTTCTTTATGCGAAAATTTCATTGTTAAAGTTGCTAATTCTATTGTGCCTCACATCGGAATGTTACGTTTTCCTGTGCACAGTTGTTAAATTTCCGTTTTAGCTCTTTATATCCCAAGTGACCCTTTCTAGACTACGAATATTACGGTTGTGTGTAAGAGAAAATTACTGATCGATATGCGTTTTATAGTTCATTTTGAAAGTTGTTTTCACAGTAAACAGCAATAAAATGGTTAGGGCATGTGCTTCGTATTTGGATATATTTCACTGAAGAAATGCCCCCGGAACGTTCAAGGCAGGCCCGTTGACAAACTAGCACTAGCAACTAACAGTCGGACTAGCAACCCGCTGAAAAGGTGCATTGCAGTTTGATCTTGATGGTTTTTGGAAATCGTGAGATGCTTGGGCACAACGAATGACTCTGTGAATAGGCCACGACAAGGGCTTGGTCAGTGTTAAGTCCCCAAGAAACAGCTTGACAGTCCCTGGTAAATAACTGTTAATGGTCGATATTCTTGGCTAACCTTGCACAAGGGGTGGGGGATAGCAGGTCGATGTGAGTCTCAAATTAGAATAACATTTCCAATAACATTGCGACACATCATTGTTCTAAATCCAGCCCCAGATCCCAAAGAGGTTTATCAATTTTTAGACCAAGAAAATTTTTGTTTCATCTAACAGTACCATATCAGTATGGCATCTTTCACGCGACCGGTCGCTAGCGACTGGCGACCAGTCGCGCGACTGGTCGCGGACCCATCTCACGAGCGACTGGCGACCGGTCGAGCGACTGGTCGTGGACTATGAAAGACGCCTATTACTCTATTATATCCTTAAGTCGCTTGAAACAGTGCCAAAGTCGGATCATTCCACTGACCAAAAAGGAGCAGTAATGAATCTTCATTTGGACTTGGAACCATGCAACGCCAATTCGGCCCCGGTCCTTTGGGCTCTCAAAACTAATCATTTGTGACTTGCCCTTGCTATATACTTCCGTGTTGCTCTACTAAGTGTGTTCGAGGATGCATTACATGAACCCACATATTATCCTCTCCCTAATCTACACCACAAGTGATTTACTACCTCTTTACAAAGAATTTTCTCATGACTACTGTAAACTTCGAATTCACTTATTTTTGACTGCGCAAATGGGATCAAGTGGAAAATTTCAATAAACATGTTGTCAGTCGGTGATCAACAATATGAAAATTCAAAAAAACATGCATTTCAAGAGAAAAAAGAATAAAAAACACAACCTGAACGAAATCATTTGAGGGTCAATAGCTCCGCGAAGCGATTTCTGGCTGAAGCAACCGGAACAGTACTATCGTATCTCCCTTTATCATAGAACATGGCAGATACCGTTGAAGAACCATGCGGCATTCACCCAGGGGACGTGGCCAGTCACCACCTGGTTGCCACTGCATTCCGGGTGGGAGATGGTCTTCCTCGAACTTTCGTCGACCGAACAATCGCTCCTCTTTCCTTAATAGGCTTGTGAGTTCATATTTAAATGCCATATATCAATTATGATATAGAAATGAAATGGGAAATGAGAATGATCGCTCACAGAAGAAAGATGCGATGCTTTTTTGAAAATAAATTGGAGAATATAAGAGTCACTGAGGTTATATGAGTACGGCAGCCTAATATAAGGTGAGAGAGGAATATAGAGACACTCCTTGAACAGAACTACCCCAAGCACACCGCACCGCCCATTCATTATTGCATCAGCAATAATTTGCGTGCCGATCTACCAATCGCTACTGGTCCGCCACATAACTATTAATTTAAAGAAAAGTAAAGAGGCGATATCAAAGCAGTGTTGGGAGATAATCTATTCCAGAATTTATGGATCGGGTTTGAAGGAACCAGTTTTGCCTTAAAACAACAAATCTGTATGTGACATTCAAAACACCTACCGCCCCGGTAGGGCCACTTCGTCCACGTCCCTCAATACAACGTTCATGTGCCGATCAAAAGCGGTCACGTACCCTCTCGCTATTCGATCGATTCGATTTAAGGCACGTATGTGAACCTGAACGACTAGAAGGACATGTTTTTATGAGACTTTCAGAACCAGAACGATGACTCATAGCGGTCAATACGGAGAACTGGATGGTCGTGCACTCTACCTCAATTCGATGACAGTGCTTCAGAGCTCGATAGAGCAACGACATCGGACCTGTAGACCATTCGCTGTACATCGTTTCATAAATATCTTGCCTGAATTTCAATTTCTAAGTTATACCTTCAATGTGGTAAATAGTTCGATAATAGGTAATCCCGTGGTCTGAAAGAAACCTCAGCCTACTACCAGAATATCCTACTACCATATCACATTTTATCAGTCATCATTGATGAACTCTTCTTTCCTTTAAATTACGTGGCTCTCCATCTTGACTCATCAGAAACGGGGACTCACGAATAAATCACCTCACTGACGGCTGCGCTCGTGGTTCGAATAGTTTTCGTCCAGCAGTTGTCATCTCCTTCAGACGGACCACTCTATCTCTTTTTTGTTGCCTAAAATCGTTAACCGCTCCGCAAAGCTTTCTGAATTGAAAGAAAGTTGACTGAGTTGAAAATTTACTTTTTGCTCTTCGTCCCTGGTGGTTTGTCCAGTACACAAACTAGCTGAGCAATTTCTGGTTGTTCGGTGACCAAGGCTTTTTCAAAATCATCAATACTTCCATAATAATCGCCATCACAAGAACCATTAGAGGACTGCTCTAGCGCTAGATTGGCATCAAAGTCCAAAGAGAACGGATCAGACATGATCTGAGTTCTTCAGCTCTTCATAGATTAGCCAACGACTATTTTTCCTGTAGTAATTGCTTTAAAAAATAAGGCCACAGGGTTTTTCAGCATTTTGTGTGGAATAGGGTGCAATTTTCATGAACATAGAGTTCAAAAGAGCTCGTACAGTTTCATAAAACTATGTTAATGAAATTGCTATCCACATTCCAATTAGGTGTTTAACGTCAATCCCACATTCGGCATCTGAACTAACAAAGGGATCCAATACACGCGATTATCAATCAAAAACCACGACAACAATCAATTGTCAGCGATGTTTTTGATTGATCATGCCAATCAACTGAGAACAGGCAATAACTCGTTTCCTTTGAAACTGTCATTGTGCACATCGTCAATGACTTAGGCACTCAATCAAATTACTGAGGCGTTCTACGCAAAATCACCTGTGCCAAAGGTCGAATTGATGCTTTCGGACTGAACTTTCCCCGAACTAACAACTCTAAGCAACTAACATTTCTTTGAAAACCAATGAAACTTCGACAATTGGCCACTCAGGACTTTGACCAAGGTCCCTATTCCCGAACTCCAACGATGCTGGAACTTCTGAATAGGTACTGATCTCCAATCCGACAAATATTCTTCCAATCTCCACGTCGGAAAGATGATAAATCAAAATTGTTCAAAGTTTTTGTGGCGAACGGTTTTTTCGTACTAATATGAGACTTCCCACTAGGCTTGGGAAAAGAAATCGAAATTCAGAGCTCCACAGTACCAATGGTTCACATAATTCCAAAACCGTTCTTAACGTCTTCTGTCTTATACCTAACGAAAACAGTGAACTTCATAATAGCCTAATCCCGCACATTATAATAAAAAAGGACCACCGTAACAAAGAGTAATTCTTTAATGACGATCTTTGCGCTTGCAAACTGGTTGCGCTGTTGATTTCATCTTTTTGAAAAAGGGTTTTGTTGAAAGCGCGAATTTGAGGGGTTACCTAGGGCTATAAGATCTTTTTTACCTTTTAGAACTTTTCATTTTCATTATTGGCAACATTTTTCAATAAATTCGATGAAGGATCATTCTGGAGCAGTTTAGACACCGTACATCTTTCCGCACGCGAGAAAAAAGCGACAAAAAGGACCTTGAGGGAACTAAAACCGAACCTCCCAACATTAATCTCCCTGTCCACAATATAACCAATTAATACACCCTGGATTTTTCAGCAGTTTAGTGTACAATTGTATATTACACAAATTTCTTAGGCAGAAAGTTCTAGAAGTGAGAACAACACGGTAAGAAGTCTTAACGCTGCAATTCTTGCACAGGAACATCGGAATGAAACCAGTTTATGGGCGATTTCTTCTACATACAAATCATGGGATGGTGGAAAATTTACCTCCATCAACGCAGCGGTTGTACCAACATCGCACTTCGCATTCTATTTCGCATCTGCAGTTTCTTTTCGAAAACAAACGCTAACTTTCTCATACAACCCTCTCTTTTCAAGACGAGTTTCTTCCTAGGCCGAAATGAAGCTGCCCTGCGAAATGTTTCCTAGAGGCTGCTTAACCGCACAATGCAAGCTAGATATTAAAGTACTTCTCCTTTATGCTTGGGTCTGATGCCCCAACTTGCCTGATATCAGATAGCAATAGAACAGATGCCGAATAAAAACGTTTGCAGCCCCCAAAATCTGCTTAACCTTGCCGAATTTACTATTTCTAGTGGAACTGTACATTACTCTTACGATATTCCATGTCTTTACAGTATACAAGAACACATAACTTTGTAAAGAAAGTTTTATTCAAATAGGCCCATCAAGGTCGATGATGGCGAAACCCTTAACGTGAAACGCCATCACACGACCTCGTAACTCGACTAGCGAGGGTTTATTGACAACCAAAAATTAGACATTACAAGGGGCGAGGGGGAAAGGGGTGACAGAGATGAGATAGGCCAGGATGACACGCGACAGTGGCAATGTAGCCTGTTCGCTACACGACCTAGCCGCCACGGTGCCATGGAAGAAATCCACTGGGTGAAGAGGGAAGGGAACATGGATGGGTCGGGACAGGTTGGTGCTTCTCGTCAGGCTCATCGATTCGGAACCGAGAAACCGGGTGGAGGAGGAACAGCGTGCGGAACGATGTGATGTGGATTCGTGCGTCCGTTAACGTCGAGACCGTAGGCTGACGGTGGCCATCTGGAGCCATATGATGAATGTTGCGTAGGCGCATGTTGTTGCTGATGAAGATGATGCAGACTGCTGCCATTGTGACCACCTTCGATATCGCTCACGAAACGTACATTCACATTCGGCAGCAATGCTTTCAAACCTTCCTGCCAATCGGAAATCGACTGAGACGACATCGCTGATCGTTGGGGAGGTGTGAGTCCGGGAGGAGGCGCACAGTAAGGATCAAACTGCTGTCGATGTTGTGGCTGATGAGTTTGATGATGTTGTGAGTGGTGATGATTAGGCGGCTGATGTAGGTGATGATGTAATTGTTGTTGTTGCTGTTGTTGTTGCTGGTGCTGTTGTGACTGCTGATGGGTGTTCATCAAGCCGGCAAACATGTCCAACGGTGATCCCTGCGTTGGCTGAGCCGAGTTCATCGAGGGGTACACCGCCGATGGACGACTCCACAAATCTCGCAACGAAAACGCCTGCTGCTGTTGGTGTTGTTGCTGCTGCTGAAGATGGTTGTGGTGTTGTTGCATGAGGAGCTGTTGATTCACGTAGGAGGCGATGCTGAAAGAATAGATCATTAGACATACACGGCAGAACATTGAAGGCAGCACCATATAGAATTCCATATACTCACGATGGCTGTTTAACCTTCTCCTCTTCCTCAAGCAACCTCGCCAACCCTTTCGACGACTCACTGAACGGATCGAATCCAAGGTCGTCATCTGATGTGAATCCTCCGAGACCTGAAATACAAGGTGAAAGTACACTCCTGAGTAGATGGTTGGATGTCTCTGAGGAAACTGATCTCAGTTAAACCGCTCATTCAGTAAAAAAGGCATGATGATGGCCTATACCCAACCCAGGTCATCATCTTGTGAGCGCTTGAATGATAGCGCAGTCGTAAATAAATTTAAACTTACGATCTCAAAAACCTCATCATGAATCTATCTCTACAACGATGCTTTCTAGCAATGCATAAACATACAATTTCTAATTAAATCTTAAGCTGCGTTTTGCGTTCTAGCTAAATAAAATAGTGAATATTTTATTGAGCTAGAACGCAAAACGCAGCTTAAGATTTAGTTAGAAATTGTAGTTGAAAAATGTATCCAAAAAACTTCAAAGCTTGATGGCTCTGTTGGAGACATAGAAGAATCCACCTAGTCGGCAAACTGACTTCAAAAAGCATTTCTTGAGAGAAGAAAGAACAGCCTTCAACAGTCCAAATAGGAGGCAAAATGAAGTATTCCCAATTGCACATGGCGCCCCGCTATCATGAATCTGCAGGATTGCCCTTGAGTTGAACGTTTAAATCACCTATCATTAAAACCTTCACCGCGATTTTTTGCTCATAACTTTGAAGATAGACTCGTTGTCAACTTCCAATCATTCACGCACGGCCAACTTTCTTCAGAAAGAGAATCTCATAAGTTCACAATCCTCTAGAGCAATTAGCTATTGGGAAACTCAAATTTGGTCTATCCATGGCGATTGCTGCACCATTTCAATTGTAAGAATTCAAACAAATACAATGATAGCCTTGCAATAGAATTAGGGTTCACAAAAAGCCGTCTAGAAACAAAAACGAAACATTCACTTTTAATAAACATTTACCTGGTGGTGGTGTGGCGACCAACGACTTCTGCGGTGTCGTCGGTGGACGTAACGTGGAAGGAGCATACGATGCTGCTGTCGTGTTATTACCGGTTGCTGCTTGCGGTGAAAGACCCAGTAGTGTCTGCCAATTTACAAGAGGCGCCGGCGCCTCGCTAACGGGTGCAGGTGCCGGAACCATGCCTGCCCCGTTGTCTTCATTACCACATAATAACCTGAAGATAAAAAATGCTAATAGATACTTGTAGAATATGTGGAAAGTAATAAAAAAAAGGCAAAGCAATGAGCCAACGTGTTAAAGCTCAAAGGATAAGAACTCGAACTCACCGCAATAATTTTGACTCCGTATCCTGGTTATAAATAGAATTGAACGGCTTTGATTGCTCTACTGTTTTCGAGGGAGGTGGTTTCGTTTCAGGAGCAGCTTCGGACTGAGATGTTTTGTAGTCCTGCAACCAACGAGTGAATGGAATCGAAACATAAAAGGGAATTAGGCATGATTAGCATACATAAGTGAAAAATTCCGCAACGCTTGAAGTCAAGCGTTCCAACTGCTTTAAAAAATCAGACAATCCGAAAACTGCGAATTTTTTTTGCAGCTCCTAGATCACCAAACTTGAAAATATAAGATAAGGTTGTCGAAGTGGCACTTTTCAACTATTACTCTCACAATTCGACACATTCGGCAGTAATATATAAAAATATTCTTAATTCTTGGAACTATCAGTCTTCCATATTTCAGGGAACCGCACAAGAAAAAATGAATGTACGGAATTTATCAATGTGTTCATGAAAGAAGCTGAGCAAAAAATACTGACACTACTTCTGAAACCAACTTATCTGACGAGTAACGCTTTGAATGGCAAACTAAACCCTGATAAACTCTGCAGAAATCATTTGAGAAAGGGAATGATAAACTAACCAGGGAAGGTGGCGTCGGTTCTCGTGGCGGTGACGAAGATGGTGGCGTTGACCCAGCTGGTGTGTGCTGAGCGGAATGCGCTGCGGTCTGTTTGACTTTGCCACGTTTAGGAATATTCTCCTTGCCTTGCGGCGACGACCGCCGTTCCCGGGATCCGAATGCTTCCGATGGCGTTGGATCACCAGATGGTGACTAAAATAATACCACTACAGAAACTATCTAATGGATCATAGCAACACATTAAGCACATTTTGTCTCTGAAATTTTCTCTATCAATTCAGTGGCGAAGTCACGTTGACACTTGATTGAAACATGACAGTTTGACGTTAATCATTCACCAAGAATAACTAGAAAAGATAAGATTGGCTATGTTCGCAAAAAAGGAGCTCCGTTGAAGCATTTATGCGCTAACTAACGAGCCAGAGAAATGATATTTACGATTTCTCACCAAGAAAAGTAGCGTTCCCAATTATCTTGAGGCTATCTCACCATCTTGAAGAAAAAATCTAGATCCCTTGATTTATCATTATACACCCTGCTTAATAAGAGCTTATTTGTTTCACGTTGAACAAAAATGTTCAACAAATAACCCATAACCCTGCAAACAGTTTATGTGAAAATAATCTCCCACAACCCATATAATAGTTTGAAGCATAAGGCAGACACATGCATCTACAGGCATAGTTTATGTAGCTGTAGCGCCAATATGACACTGATTGTACCAATAGGACAAAAGCGAACAAAGCGGCATAATAGCGCATACGGCATTGAAAAAGAGCATAATGACACGACACTCTCTTAGGAGACAATGAGCTCTACCGCGATGTACTGTTGTGGTTTATGTAGTAAAAACGGGAGGTATCATTGTTTCTCACCTCATCGCCACCATTGTATCCTCCGTCTCGTCCATGGTCAGCTTCTTCGCTCGTTTCGCTACCATTCTGGTCCCAGCATACATTATTTTTATTGGAACCCCAAGGTCTGAACAAAATAATATCAAGGAAAAAATGGAACGATTTGATAAAGAGGCAGCGCGCAAAATAAAAAATGAACTCACTGGGCCCGCTTATCTTGCGATTGTGCTGATGATCGATTCAATACCGTGTCTATCAATCTGAAATATATCTCATAAAAACAAACAAACTTCTTAAACTCTATTAGAATATCGCTAGGAAGTTTCACAGCTCTTGTACTTCCGCAAATTCAATGAAACAGAGCCTTTGCTACATGAGAAATGTGCTTGAACCCGATCATAGGAGTTATTGAACATCACCAACCCGGGACAGAAAATTTTGTAGACCAAACGAGATTTAAAAAATGGGAATGTAGAATACAACCCCAGCTGAACCAGAAGGGTAATTGTGGAGGTTAACGGTTAAACCGAGCAAGATCGAGCAGCAGTGCTTTTTTTAGCGGAAAAGTTCCATAATTCAATTAGCCGCGTAGACGTCTGAGCAATGGGGTCAGAGCAGGAAATTATAAAAACGAAGTTAGGTGGCCGTTAAACAGAGAAGCTCTGGTTGCAGAAGTTTTCATATTTGATGATTTGCTCTAGCTACTCTGGTCATTTTTCGTTTTCAGTTGTTACGAAATATTCACAACACGGATCTTATCTGCCCATATAATCGACTGATTTGCAAAACATACTTCCTTTCATACTCAGCGTGCTTGCCCATGTGCATATCCTCCTTCGTAAAACTGATATCACTATCAGCTATTTCATGTAAGTACATACACTCCTGAAATTGAAGAAAGATGAAAGACGTATAGAAGCACAGTTGACGTCAAGCAAGGATAGGTTTCCTTTCTAATGACACACGAACACAATATTTGCAGGAAGACGAGAACTTGAGAGAAAGAACTATATGCTCACTCAAATATAAACTTCCGACAAAGAACAGTACTTTGCTGTCTGGAGGACCATTTCTTTCAAGTGCCCGAATTACCATTCGTATAAAAAGAGAGGGAGAATCATTCATTAAAGGAATCATACCGGTTTGAAGCATTTCTGACTCCGTAGAAAAGAAGAGCAATATTTCGTTGTACCCAACGAGGCCTTCACTATCCGACCATCTAGTTGAGCATTGCAAACAGCCTAGACAGTTTTGTATTGGTATGTTTACAACTTCTAGCGAAAGGTAAATACATAAAGTTGTAAAATGCGATGAAATACCGTACTTGTATAGCTCTCAAAGCTTCCTCGACCTTGCTATACGTCACATATGCGGTGTGACTAGGTTGTGCATGAGGGTGATTTGCAGTTGGTGCAGTACCAACGACAACCTGAAGAGATTAATGTGGCATCGATCGGATTCCCAATCACATTCCAACAGGGTAGAAAACTGTTGAGAGCATCATCTGGATATAATGAAGCCATCAAACGCTCTCATCCAATCAGCTACCCATGGGAAAACAAAAGGAACTCTTGGAATAGCAACAATACCTTGAGAATCTTTCCAAACCTTCCGAAATACTCCGGTTTCCGCAATGTGTCGGGGTCGGCCACACGCGGAGATAGTCCCACAACATATACCAAGTTCTAAAATGCAAGNGCTATTTTGCTCACCTTCTGTAAAACTCTGTAATTAGCTAAATGATTCCGTGATTCAGAAATCCGTAACTTTTCAGCCTGCTGCTTCAATCGCTTTTCGTCCTTGATCCGTTGAACATCCGCGCAAGACAATGGCTGAAATCGTTAAATCATACACTTTTCAATGTAGCGACCGTTTAGTTATAACGCACGCCATTCTTTTGTTATGATGTTGTGCCCCAGCGGAGCCACAAGCACAAGTCCAGCTCATGTACTCTGGCACAAACATGTGCTATTTCACACCTTTCTTCCCGATCTCATTGCTGTTTTATAGAAAATCAACGGCGTTCCTCAATTGATCAGAAAAACTGTGGACATTACACCTCTTACAGGCTTCAGTATATCCTCACAAATATTTCACCAGAACGTTGCGCTGGCAAAATGTTAAGGAGAAAAAAGGAGCAAGGGGAAGCTCTAAAGAACGAACAGTTGGTAGCACAACATCTCTTTAGTCACTGCGAGCACGGAGTCAGACTGAGCATACTTTCCTGCCCATCAAACAAAATATCTAGCACATAAGATCTCTTTAGCTGTTTTATTCATCGAAAGAACCACGCCATCCTTGAAAGTATATCTTTCAATGGCGATCAATAGAATAATTCTGGAATATGCATCCACATCGAAGTTTTTCATCAGACAGCTGATTCAAGCTGAGTGCGAATCGCTGAATCAATCACGCCACGTCAACGATACCACAGATCAATAACAAAGGCAGGGTTTGAAAGGCGGGAGGAAACTGCCGCCATAAAAATACTACAGTACGGATGCGTTTCCCTACGAAGCCCGAAAAGCCGTTATTTTAACACAAAGCAAAGTAGTGCAATAGCAAACAAACTTAAGAAACAAACCTTGAATGTAACCGGGTCCTCCGGGTACGGCTGCCGACAAGCAGGACAGAGACCGTTCTCATCCGTAAGCAGACGGTGCCAGCAAAACCTACAAATCTGAAAACACGAAACCACGCAATACGTTTTATTCTTCAGAAATGAAGATTATGTGAATAGCCCCCATGAATGAAAAAAACAAAAGGAAAGGATACGGATTATGCTGTCTAGTGATACAGCGAGACGATGATTAAACCATCAGCTGTCGGCTCAGAACCATCGAATGGAGAATCACATGACGGTTTACTGTCATATGATTCTCCTACTTCAAACCACCCCCGTATTAGTGATTGTCAACGAATAACATTATTTTACAACTAAGATTTTATGGCATGACCCATGCTCCTTTAAATTCACAAGCAGTACTTCCATAGACATCAAATCAAAAGATATAGGTGAACGATACGCCTTCAAATTTTCGTGATCTAATACACATCACCCATTCATCTAAAGTTTATGATGGGCAGAAGTTGTGGCAGTATCAATCATTACTGGCACAACAAAGAACACTATTAAAAGGTCTAAAACGAGCTGCTAGAACAACTGGGAGCCAGAATGATGTTAAGATACGTAACAGTTTTTGCTACGCAGCTACTCGAAGATGTCTTCTGGAAGTTTCTAGGATAGCCCTATTCCATAAAAATGCCCAAGCCAATTTCACCTTCGTTGTCTCGCACAGGCTATCTAAGAGTGTCCCATACTAAATGTTTCAATCACTTCGTAACATCACTGATCCGAGTTAAGTTCGACGGTGTCTTTGCCTATAGAACGATTATGCACTGACATCATCAGATCCCTCACACTTCCCCGTACTACTTCAGAGTTTCCTTCATGCGCTTGAGTCTACCTGCCAACAAAGGTATTTGTGCAATCCCACTGACTACTCCCTCACTTCATTACGAAGAACGTGATTGCACAATGTCATATGAAACGGCCTTGCCAAAATATCGATCAATCGCAGGCGAAATAAACGGCACCACAGCATTTCGAACGGAAACAAATAACGAACCTGATATTCACATTTACAGGGGTAGAAATCTAAGTCATCGATTTCGAGCTGTTCCATACAAAGCGGACACTGAAACGAGAAAACCACATGAGTCGAGACGAAATCCCTGCATTAGAAACCACTTCAACTCAACAAGAATTAAAGTGACCTACCTCCTTATCGGATTGCTCATCGCTACTGCACGACATTTTCACAGCGTGAACTCTATCAACAGAAACGTTGATAACACTGAAAATAAGACACTTGAATCTACCGTTTCACACGGGAAGTGATCGTTAAAGTGAATGGAAGGAGTACACTAACAAGGCACTATCTAATAAATATACTACCGACTTTCTCTGGAATAATAAGCTGAACTGAATACAAACAAAAGATGGTTGGTGAGCAGTGTGATAGCCGTGGGAAAAANAAAAATGAATTACTGCCAGCTGCCTATGAAATAAAAGTAACAACTAGCCGTGACACCCCAATAATTAACAGGGTGCAACCTCTACCCTAACAACTCCACAGGATTCACAGAGCATTAAATGGAGCAGCACAGTATGGATAGACCCGAATGGAAGGACCGAAGCGCTCATCTTTGCTTAAATATCAAACGCACGGGACACCACCCGTTATCGATTACCACTATCGACTGACCGGCTGGTGCTCGGGCGGGGCGGTGCTAAGGTTACCGTACATTGCGCATTTTTCCTCGCAGGGCCTCCGAGCACAACGTCATTGTGGTCCTTTAAGAAGGATTTTTAAGTTCCTCAGATCACCAGCCTTTCTGCAACTGCGCTGGTACTTCAAAGATGAGTTCGGATAGGTCTGATAACACAGAGACGACCGAAATACCCCTGGAGAAAATTCGTGAAATGAAAAGGAAAGCCTGCGAGAAGCTCTCATCACTTATTCAAGCCATATCTTCACCTCCGCCTGATAAAAGGTAAGTTTCACATTGTTTTCTTATACTTTTGTTTTACAATATGTGTTGCAGCAACAGAAAATGTTGAAAATGTGAAAAAAAGTATGGAGTTCACTGTAAATCAAGTTGGTGTTGCACCTTGAATAGATCTTTGTGGCATTATATGAGTGCTGGGTCGTCCTGAATGATGCGTTTCAAAAATGAACCTCTTCGACCTCTTCAACTTTATTATATGCATGTCCAATAATTATTCTAGTTGAAACACGAGGACCTTCAGAGTTCGTAGGAAAAATATTTGAGAGGTTATAGCACTGCTAAGGTATTAAGTTGACAAGTGTTCGAGGATTTGTTCGGCGAAAAGTACTTAAAACAAGATCCTATCAACTTGGGATGTGAGTTATCACTATCATCAGGTCTGCCTAATTGCTAACGCATCCTATAAGGATCAGTTGTAGTACAAATTGTTATCCAGGGAACCTATCATTATCTTGTACAATAGCTGAAAACTATGGGGACCATGAGCAATTTCCTATTAATTATGTTCAATGTATTTCAAAGCTATTAGGTAATACGCTAAAAAGGTACAGTGGCAATTTTTGGTTGCTTTTGTGTAACACTACCATTCTCGGTAACTCAGTGCTTCTTGTTTGGCACTGTTTCGGTAACCAGCAGTTCCCCAAATCTGAAATATTTAATTCTAAAAATAGTAAGGATCAAGTTCGAGTTGTCCTGAAATGAACATATTTTTTTCTTTACAAAACTAATTGAAAGCATGTCGGTTTTTGCCGGAAAGAACGGAATAACAAGGAAGCATTTCTTGCCAACATCACATCAGGCAACGTTCCTAACAATATCGGTGTAATGGATTTTGCTGATGTAATTTTTGCTATTCTACCGTAATCAGCTCATAATTTTAGAGTTATGCAAATTCAAGAAACCCCGATAAAGCCTGGCAGAGAACACTTGCGTTTTTATATTTTCCTCTAGTGTTATTTTTGTGCAGCCAAAAATGGCTTGCATCGGAAACAAAGTATTATATTTGTTGAAATACTTACTATTTTTCTATTCTTTATTGTCTTAACTTCTCTGTAACAGCTGGATACTGTTTTTATTTTCAGATCGAAGCGAAGCTGTGCATCATTCTTCACTTATAAAACTCTGATCAAGTCATATAAGGTTCGTCCTCTTTACTAATGAAAAAGGAACGATTGGGTAAACGTTGACGTAAATTTCATCTGTCCTTTTTTTTTCAATGAATCCTTTCACCGCAATTCTTCGTTCATTTTGCTTGAAATGTTATGAGTTTCACGTGAAAGTGAGGGGAACGGTGTTGCGTGGGTGCACTAAATCAAGCATGACGTTCGTAAAGCCTTTGTCTTCATGCTTCGCTTCTTTGTGCGCCCCAATATTTCGCTGTCTAATATATTGAGGAACGGATTGAAGAAGATTTGCATAAATGAACTTCACTCCTTTCATACCATCAGCCTGTGAAATGGCTTCGACGTATATTTTTTTGTGGAAGGGACTGCTTAAACACTCACTATGCTAGGAACGTTCACTAGTAAAATTTGCGCCGGTGACGAAGAGTTGGCTAGGCACAGTTATAGTTACTATGACGACAATCGCTTTTCCTATTTGTTACTATAAACACTATTATTGGTATTACTGCTACTATAAAACTATTACTATCACTCTCCGCATTACTATTGCTAACACCTTCGGTAGACTCAAAACTTTTTATCCCTTCAAATCTTGTTACCCATCTACATCTCCCTTTACCTTTGCAACATGATTTTGCGGGCATCCTTTTTTTATTTTCAAAGGACTGCTCCAAACATGGGAGAGAATCATTTCTTCCTTGTGAATTCGAGCTCATAGTGTTATGCTTGTGCGTATTGATGTATGCAGGTTACATGCATTTCGTTATGACATCAGGCGCTTGAATTGCATAAAAATAGTCCGGCAAGCGTGGGCGTGCATGAACCAAGCGAATTAAATGTGATAGAGAAAGCTGCTCACTCAATCGTAATTGAAATTTTTATGTCCAGTCCAGTAGTTATGATGAAATATGTGGACAGAACAAGTTTTTAGCTGTTGTCCATTTCAAGACTGACTCTCAAACCTTTGGGGATGTGCACTTCCCATTGAATCAAACTGCAACACTTTCTTGAATCATGGTCCCATGATTGTTAAGAGTAGCCTTTTTAGTTTGAGTTATGGGCTGGAAATGAAATAACACCACGTGAGCTGGCCGTTCATGGATGGGAATGCAAAGCTCGTGATCAGGTGCAATGTATCGCTTGCAAACAGTTTCTGTGTACTTCCGTTCCGAAAATAACGGACGTTGACATCAGTGTTTACAGCAAATGTATGAGGTTAGCTATTTTCACAATTGCCCTACATTTATGTGATATTATTGTTACGCATTACTTGATTTGCGTCTGACCAAGTGCTTCTGTTTTTGGGCTGTTTGCAAAATATTACAGTAGTAAACAAGCCTTCTAGCTTTTTCCAAAGAAATTCTGCTTCCCTAATTTGCAAAATGAGCCTCGTAAATGAATTTCGACTTTCTCTTCACTTTTCACAGCGAGGAGAGATATGAAGCTGTTCTGCTTTTATCTCCTCCACTCAATTCTACAAATCCTCCGACCACGACTGTGCTCTATGTTGACGAGACAAACAATACCACCCATTCTTCACTAAACAAGGCACCATTTCAAATCGGAGAATCCTTCTCGAATTTGGAAAGTAGATTCGAGGGCGTCACCTACGAATAGCACGTCTGTGGTATACATATGTACGTCTACAAAGTGCCTGCAGTGCCATGCACCTTTGAGACATTAATCAGATATTTGTTTGGGCACTTTTTATAGCTAGAAAATTCAGTCTAGAAACCATCGAGGAATGAGCGTGGACTATTTTTAGGCGTGTTCGCGAAAAAATAGTGAATTCGCATGTGCTCACGTGCATATACAGATCGGAACCACTTCAGTTCAAACATGATGTTGACGAAGATTTCCTGAATGATGTGGTTCGGCCAAGAATTTCTTCATATCGCAGAGATGGCCTGAAATTGAACATGGTGAGAAAACAATATTTGTTTTCAGTAGTTTCCAGATAATCAAGACAAATGAAGGTGGTATCAAATGCGAGGATATGGCTCGTGTTCTAAACCCAACTTCAAAAAAGCAAAATAGTGGTGCAATGGAAAACCGCATATCTCCTATCCAATTGACAGTGGCCTTTTCCTTGTTTATCTTTACGACCATAAGTGTTTTTGCTCTACTTTTTTTTCGCGAGCTCTGTAGACTCATTGGCACCCTAGTGAACCAAGTTGTCCGTTAACCATGACGTGAGCTGAGCTCTGGTCGAGTTTCACTCTCTTTGAAGGGGTAAGAAAAGAGGATAGTGAATCACTTAGGCGGTTTCTTTTGAACTATGGCAACTACGTGATCCAATGTTTTTCTGGGACTTTTTCATGTCAATAGCAAAGGTCGTTCTTATCACCTGCAGATAACTATCAAATTTCATTGAATTCAAAGCAAAACATATGATTTTGCACTCATAGAAAGGTTGAGAGGGGCAAGTCGATTCACCTGTATCAATGAAGAGGTGTTTTGAGCGAAACCTGATTCGGAGCTTTGCACTTCAATTCCTTTTAAGGTTATTCCCAGTGATTTGAATCTGACTGATGAAGAAAAAGAATGCTCTTCATCACATGAAGCTGTGATAGGATCATCGTTAGGGTGGTCGATTGTGACTGAAAAACTGGCTGGAAAAGAATATTTCGTGGCTGTGTGCGACTACTGTGCGAGGGATTTTCTGCTTGGGTCAGTCATTTTTCGGATCGATACCTAATTTTAAAATTTCGCGCTCCATTGCATTCGTACTTGACCTGATCTTAACTATTTATTAGCGAAATTTTTGTGAGTATTCCTACTTTTTAGAGATGTAGCTTTCGATCCGGTGAAAGTTCATCAGCGATGGTGCCCAGTACTAGATGTGAATGAGGATGACGGTCTCGCCCTATGGAGAGTTATCTATTCAAGAATAACCCCCAAAAAGTATCAGGTACGTTTCATTCTACAACCTGTAACGTCTTTTATTATATTTTTCTTCAGAGAACATCGTCAGCCCCGACCCTCCAGGAAGCCGAATCAGCTAAACGTGTACTTGAGCGGTCGCTCTCCGTTATTTCAAGAGAAGTTCTCAGCAATTCCTAGCAAATCATTTTTAGTGCTCGGTTTTCTTCATTTTCGGGTCTCAGTTTTTGGATCGTTATGCAATGAATCTACTTACTACTACTACTTTGAACTAAAGGTAGTACACTCAAAGAGATTATTGAATGCATTTATTCATTAACATTAGGTGCATTTAAAGACTTGCTGGCTATAAACGAGAAGTTCGCATTCGGAATTTTTTCATTATCATCGCGCCACCAAATATCTACACCCTACGCTTCGTCCCCTTTAAAATTGAGGTGTTGAAAGGAAGGGGAAAGTTGTTAAGTTAATTGTGAGATCGCAGTTAAACGTGTTCGAGGGTTTTTCTAAAGCAGCAGCTGTTTGAGACGCTCTTTTGCCTAACGTTCACATACGGGTGTGGTTAGAGAGACTACACTTTCAATTCCAGTTCGTAGATTTACCCAACATTCACCTGATATTGCATAGATTCAGTGCGTAATACCGAAACGCTCTCGTAGATCTGTGAGTATGAGTGTCAGTCTGGAATGATCGGACAATTTGAAGACAACCAAATCGTCATAACTTGATAACAACTGCTTAGTTATCGTTAGAGTAGGAGGTATAAAGTCTCGCTAATAATCAATGGCATTTGTGAGATGCACCCATATATCAGACTTCAATTCAGAATCGTAGTGGCCTATTGATTGCGTATGTGGCCTATACAATGACTTGCGGAGGACAGCCAATGAAATTCAGACCTCTTATGTTTCCGGAGTTTTTTTGCCAGTTAACCGCCCCCGCAGGAATGGAAGCTTGGTCGGGAAAGGCGAGTATCGATCCAGGATTCGAACTCACAAGCATGCATGTGCGGATGGTGTGCTACTTGCCACTACACCCAAATTCGCGTTCCGATCATCATAAGTCAGCTGATAATCAGCTGTCTTATGATGATCGGAACGCGAATTTGAGTCTCATTGTCAGGATACGTTCGTGATAGCGATACCTTCTGCAAATACTTCATTTCCGCTCGTCTTTTATGATAAAGAAATAATGTGAGAGATAAAAGACACCATCAAATAACGCCGTTCCAGTGAGCGCGCTTCACGGATCAAAATCCACCCATGCCTACTGAAATCGGACTCGCCTTATATTCGGAGAGAGCAAGGTGGCCAGTAATAAGCTGATCAGCTGATCCTGCTTGCCATTGTGAAAACTGGCATGTATTCTAATCTCACGATGGTTCTGAACTGGAATCATATACGTTGCGAGGAGACTAATGAACTTATGCTTGTCCTCGTTCTTCATGTCTTGGAAGCTAAATTCCTATTTACCTGCCTGTTATAACGAAAAACGGTATATTCTTAAGCGCAGTTTTGCAAGCCTCTAATGGGCAATTATTATCGAATTTTGTGCCTTCTATAAATCGCATATCTTTCGTTTTATGAAATTTCCTGCCCCAGGACTGAAAGATTTCACGTACCCGTGGACAATTGGATTTTATTGTGATCACAAAAACAGGGCACTTGCCATTACATTAACTCTCTGCAGCTAACATCTGTTATGACAAATGTCATCGGCACGGAAGCTTTGCGGTGGCAACTACGTCTACCACTTAACAAACAATAACCTTGCCACTCACCTGGAAAGATGGGCTTCTTGGAAAAAGCTCGAGAAGCCGTAAGCAGTTTTCGTTAACATTTTGAAGTCGACGGATTGATGCCAGTTCTGATAAAAACATTACAAAGGTTAATCTCATCCTATGTTCAAATTACTACGCAACCTCGGCGCATTCTGATGACTTGGCAATGCTTGAATGCCAATGATGATTGCTAGACCCTTTTCTAGGTAAAAAATCTGGAGTGAGAGGTAAGCATAACACCCGATTCTCCGAAAATTTGCATAAAGCCTTCAATCAGTAGCTTCTTCACCGGCAATGCGCAACCCCTTGAAGACAGTGTTCGTAGCAGATTTTTCCCATGCAAGGTTTTTTGGTTGTCTGCTGGGGTTCGAAAGGTTGCTATGACTGATCTCTTATAAATGACGACAGGACGCGTTCCGTAGGACAACCTAGAGTTGATAATCGAGGACCATGTGAAGATTCTCTCCCAAGTGGGCCGAGTTTGTGAAGTGAGTATGATCAATAACGAAAAGGTTCCATGCAGTGGCGGACTTATTTGGAACGTTTATCTTTGTCATGTAGAATCAATTCTCTAGCGCCAAGATTCAATGATCTTTGTACAACTGCAGAGAACTTCACGGTCAAGCCGTTTTTATCTGCCAATAGCTCCAATGGTACACAAAAATAATGACTTTTTATTGATTGACACGAATATCAATCTACCAGATTGTTGTATTCACTTAGAGTAATCATCGTATCTTATATAGCTAGGGTGACGAAAAGGCACAGCTACGGGATATACTGTATATACAAGGGGCAGAATCGTTAGAGAAATTTTTAGGTTAACTTAAGGTTCTATTAGAGTCAATCACTTCGTAGACAACGTTCAACATCACACTCTCGTTCTCTGAGAAACCCAATGACTCGGGGAAGACCATGACGGCAACCCTTTCATCACAGAGCTATCACAGAACGGCAGTAATGAACTGAAGGCTTTAAAAGCTACTGGAATTAGTTCAAACAATTTCTGTGGAGCAAAAGGGTTGTCAGGCCAAAAAATATTACGTGATGTATAAGTGTTCAAAGGAAGACATCGTAAAAGTGGAGACATTCACAATGACAGACGAGCCTAATTAATATTATTAACACTAAAACGAACATTGTATTGGACGTAACAACATTACAATCAAAATTTCGTACTATACAATGGTGACATATAAAATTCTGGAAAAATATCACAACATCACAATCATTCTCCACAGAACATACAACATATATGGCAAAATGATATTTACTAGTAAGAAAATAGACGTGACGCGAGTTTCACTTACCGAACGCTTTCGTTAATGCCGAAAAACCATTCCGCTTGATTGTCGTCGTTGGAGCCGGTTTTCGAAATGAGTTATCTGGTCGCACAGGAGGAACTTAAACATATCATAATATCGGAATGAGACGCGATTCAAAGATAAGTTCATAAAATGTAAAAAAGAAAAACAATTCGATAAGGCTTTTTCATACTTGTAATTATCTAAATCTCCACTTCAATCAAGCGGTTTTTAAATGAGCTCAAAAGTTTGTCATTGACATTTGCTCTACCTCTACATTTCCGTGTACGCCCTATTTGCGTATAGGAAACAATCAAATATCCATTCACGACCGCTCAATGATTTTGTTCAACAGAGATATTTAACACAGGAATTCAAACAACAAGCAAACTTCATCCGATTAAATAGACACAATTTTAGGCAAAAATATTTAACCCATGTCCTTGAAACGGCACTTGCTGACACTTACATGATTTTTTTTCATGTAAAAAACAAATAAACAATGAAGAAAAAAAGAGAGAAACTCTGTCAACGTCAGTCTCCGACGTCAACTTTTTTCTTGATGCGATCAATCTTACCGAGAGATTCCCCCGTAGAACCAGCACACCACCACCTAACATTGAATGGCGTAATCATTTTGCCTTTTCTTTGACAACATGAACCTAATTAACCCCTTTCTCAACTTGCAACTTTCAAGATTACAGGGAATATCAGATGCAAAGGTTGGTGGAGCTCTGCAGCAGCTACGAGCTAGAATCTACGTGGCCGCGCAGTCATGCAATCAGTCCCAGTTCAGCTCAAAATGAGACAGCTGTGAATGAGATGATATGGACACGTACTAAGAGACTACCCGATCACGCTATAAACAAAACTGTCGAGTTCGAAGCTCAAGAGAAACCACCACGAGGAGCTTCAAAGAAGAGGTGCTGGAATTTGATCAAAAGGACCTCGTCAAAACTACTGTGTCACTAATAAAGGAGGGAGAGCACCTTGCGGCGGAGCGGGCAAACGGTCGTGGGAAGAGGGAGGAAGTAAAAGTACGCGAAAGTCGATGTACGCCACGTTCTGAGTTACATGTTGAGTATTTTTTTAACTTTGCTTCGTACAGGTAGTTTTCCTCAAAGGCCCAGCTCCCCACAGAATAGTTGCCATTAGTTTCACTAATAGCAACGAAAAAAATGTTCTCACCCCCACGACGGTTGGCTGAGAGATCACCTTATCGAAAGAGGGTATCAGTTTATCAGAGATGACAGGGTTTCATTGAGAAGCAGACAAGTTAAAGATTGAACGATGAAACTTTTGTAATTCAACGTTTAAGAGTGGAATAACTGTATGTGCGTCACTAAGAAAGAACTTTTCCCTCCCCTTCATCCCGCCGAATAATGCTGGAAGCACCTTCACAGCACTTTTGCCAGCATAACACAACATAACGCCCGGTTCGCATGAATAAATATGAAAAGCACTAGAATCGATGAAGTAAACGCTGAACCATATGCCGTTCTCGCCCGCGTCATTTTTCCGCAACACTAAGCCCACACCAAAAAAACACTGGTATCCAAGCCTTCTTGTATAATGTCCCGAGGAAAAATACACAGGTTCACGGACAATAGAAAACATCACAAAAGCATGCTACACCTTACCTAATCGACTAGCTGCTCCCATCTGCGGTTGTGGAGGTACTCGAAGTGGAGGTTCAGTTCGATAAACTGGCGGTAGATCGATCTTCCTCGCTTCACTACTACCTCCCCCTCCACGTGGTAAACTATTACTACGTTTTGTTGGCGACGACGTTGGTGCAACTAGAAACACCACAATCACACTCACCAATACACAAACAAATACTAGCTAAATTTGGTGACCAGTAATCCAGCCATGGCTATACCAAAGCGTTACGATCTGCTCTAATAAGTGATTGTGGTTATGTACAACTGACTAGTAATCTACTCATGCACTATATCGAAACATATTCGTGAGAAAACATAATATGGTGAGAACGGAAATCCATGGAACACCTTAACCAACGAATATGAAATACTTATTAATCGAGGAGCACCCTCATTTTTTTNATTAACCCCTTTCTCAACTTGCAACTTTCAAGATTACAAGGAATTCCCATATCAGATGCAAAGGTTGGTGGAGCTCTGCAGCAGCTNGTGACCAGTAATCCAGCCATGGCTATACCAAAGCGTTACGATCTGCTCTAATAAGTGATTGTGGTTATGTACAACTGACTAGTAATCTACTCATGCACTATATCGAAACATATTCGTGAGAAAACATAATATGGTGAGAACGGAAATCCATGGAACACCTTAACCAACGAATATGAAATACTTATTAATCGAGGAGCACCCTCATTTTTTTTGAAGCTTTAATCTCATCCTATAACTACGGAAAACTGAAAGATGTGCGGCTTCTATAGGTATATCTCGTTGAGAATCTAACAAATTGTGCGCGAACTGAATCCAACTCACACTTACAATCTCCACACAAAATATGGTGTCCCTAAAACGCTTGTCGATCGCATATATACACACCTACATTCGAGACAGCAAAGAATGGCCGCCCAACACAGCGTAAATGTACATAATGAAGGGAATTTGGAAGAAACCCTACCGTTGGTAGCAGCCATCGACTCTATTGCTGCTTCGAGTTCCTGCAATTCTGGCTCAGCATATCTTGGAGGAGGTGGGACCCGCCTGGTTGTACCCAATCCCATCGCAGGCGCCTTTTTAGATGGCGATGATGGCACCCTGAAAGAGTGCATTAACTCTCCATAAAAGGGGGTAAAATGATGGTCACCCCATAGGTACATAACTATGAACCAGGTCTGCTAACCCACACAAATACTTCGGATTTCCTGGCTACCACAATTCCTATAAGATGGCTCTCTCTATAGCGGACCCAGCTAGTTCTCTAATAGTACCGGCCCATGGCATGATCCAATTCAGACCTGACTAGCAATGCAAGATTAATAATAGGGGCTTGAACGAAGGCGTGTGAGCCATCGGTAGTGAAATGAAGGGCCTACCGGGAAAAATCCGTGCCAGATCAATTTTCATTCAAAGCCGAACGCTTGTGAAAACGCTCAGGATTTTTCTATTATTTCTGGACCGAAAATCACCTAGGCGAAGGAAGTCCTCTTGCCGGTGAAGAAGGAGCACGAGGTAAGCGGCTTTTTTCAGCTGGAAAACTGCTCGATGTGGCTAATCTCGTTCGGGATGATAACGTGCCAGCGGACATTGCGGTACCAGTCGATGACGTTCCACCACTGGATGATCCCGTAGACGTCGCCATCCGGTTAGCCACCACCAGCGATCCACCGGTGTCGGCTAATTGAGGAAGATGCTGAAATTACGATATTGTGAAATCGACAAATGCGCGCATGAAGACATAATAAGACCCAAAGACGAGCAGAGCTAAGTTAGAATACGTGCAACCATTCAAAAAGAAATTCAAACTGACCGTTGTGGGCTTGTCGAAAGTCAGCTTCGTTGATGAGATCAAATTCTTACGGAGCATTAACAAATCCGCTTCTTGACCCTTCACAACCTCTTTGAGGCTTAGATTTTCCGCCTTAACATAACACATTGAACAATTTATTTGCACATCTAATTAGAAAAGAATTAAAGTTCAGGAAATCAAAAGTTAATGTTATTTAAATAATGTTTTGGTACAGTATGGCTGGTTCGTAAGAGATATGCTCGTAGCTATGCCGAGATTGGAGAAGTCGAGCATAGTCAGCTCGAATAAGAAATATTCGTGAGAATTCAATTCCTTTCCCTTATAATTGAATTCCCCTGATGATTTGAACATTTGAAATATGAAAGAAATATTCACCTTCAATGCTTTATTCGCATTTTTCAACGAGTCGCGCTCTTCCCGGAGAAAACCGACTTCCTTTTTGAGTTCTTCCAGTAATGCTTGATCACCCGGTGTCATATGAGCTGAAAAACGCTCACATCAATGAAGGTTCAAAAGGAGTACAAAAAGTCAAGGAATTAGAAAAGGCCACTTAAAAGGAAGGATGATATAGAGTGCTCACGGTTTGATTCAGATTTGACCCGTAACTCGTGCATCTTCACCAACATCTGTTTGCGTTCATTGATGAGGAATAGTACCATGGATTTGTGTCGTTCTCGTTCCGCCTCGAGTTTTCGTTCCACTCTTTCCGTCTCTGCTTTGCTCTCAGCCACCTCATTAATTTGAATTTCCAACTGCAATGTGGAACAAATCAAAACACATTTGCTGGTGGAAAAGTATTAGAAACAGATGGTTTGACAAAGTCCACAAAATACGTAGTCCAATCCCAAGTTAGATTTCTTATGCTGAAAAAATATGAGGGAAAAGCGCGAAGCGGATCAAAACCAATTCCAGTAAACCAGAGAAAGAGAAGAGGANGGAGTTAAGAGGGTCAACAAAAAGGTGCTTCCTTAGAAATAAGTAAAACACATATAGAGCGACAGAACTTTGCCACGACGAAGATTTTTGTAAGTAATCACTTCAAGTGGTGAAATGAGAAAGTTCCATCACCCATGCAAGTTTGAAACTAGGCTGATATTGAAAAAAGACGCAGACTATTTATACCTGTTGCGTGAGTTTCTCGCGTTCTTTTTCAAGCAATGCGAGGACGTCATCCCCTTGAGCTGCATACCGGCTTTTCCGTTCCTTTTCTAATTCGAGTTCTCGTAGAGCTTTGAAATGTCGCTTTTCAGCCGCAGCAAGCAACTGAATCAGTATGAATTGAATAAATATGAAGCGAAAACATTTTATGCCTAGCATTAATGATGCTTTAGAAATGTCCTTGAAATATTCTCAATGGCCATTGCAAAGATGTTGCAAAATAGAAAAGAATGGCATTCTAAGAAAAAAAGCAAGAGAACAACGTGCAACCCTTGAAAGACTTACACTTTTTGCTCTTAAATGGCTTCGCCGTTGTACAGCAATGAGTTTTTCCAATTGAACGAGCTGTGATTCGTAAAGTTGACCAATTTGATGCTCGTCCAATTCCTCCTCAGTCACCGTCGAATCACGACGCAAGGCACACATCGGATCGTTTCCGCCAAGTTTGCCATACTTGGCATCAAAAAGAAGAAACTTGGTGCGTTCGTTCTTGAAAAAAAAAACAATAATAGAGTTGGTGGAATTCGGAGGATAGTGCAAAATCGGCGCACTCATAAAATTAAGTGTAACGCATCGAAAAAAAGATGTAGGCTTTTTTAGACGTCTCGTCAGAACATTGGAATGTTGTGAGCAAGATTAATGCACTCAGGTCCGCAGGTATTGATAATCTATATAGAAGAAGCCCGGTCTCATACGTTATCATTACAAAGAGAACCGGATATTCTCGACACATGCGTTTTTTAACAATTCGGACAATAGGATTGACTGGCAAATGGTTGACGGATATCTAGCTTATTAAATAGAGCCCTAGAACGTGGGAATTCTATTCTCAAGTCATAAATTTTTCATAGTTCAGATCAACATAAAATATGGTTATTTGGAGTTATGGCACACATCTCGTGACAGAGCATAACTTAACACCCAGCCTTTTTTCAGGAGAGAAGTTTCCTTCACATGTGGTGATTTCCTTGCAACCACAAAACACCTCACCGCCAGTTTTCCTCTATGTTTTGGAGTAAATCCCCAGCCTAACTGAAGAATCCCTTTCGAAATCGCATACGAAACAATATTTCGAAACCGCCTGTTCGCAGCGTTGTAACGCCATGATATTTTAAATGAAACCTAACAATAAGACAGAAACGACCCCAAGGACATAATTTCTCTTCTGAGAGTGGAAGTGTTTCACTAATTCGCATGCGTGGCCGTAATTCAATATAAGGAGTCTAGGAAAATTGAAACAGGAACCTCATAGCACAGTGTCAACAGGAAATGAATGTGAAAAAAAATGAAGTTACAGACCATGGGGTCAGATTTCCCACCACAAGCCAGTGTTCAAACTAGCGCACTAGTAAACGGTGATTAAAAAAGAAGAAAACACATTGAAATTCACAACAGAAAGGAAAAATTAACAGCCAATACACTAAAATATTACCCGTAGGCGTGCGACAACTTCATCACGTGCTTGTAATTCGCCTTCGAAATAAGATAGAAGTTTAAGGAGTTCTTCTTTTGTGAAATCGTCCGGATCGTTGGAAATCTCGGCATTCTGATGAATCGGTATGTGTTTTGAAGTAACCTGATGATAGTCGCCATCGAAATTGAAGCCCAGATTCATCGCTACCCGCGTTCGCCGAGCATCGCCCCGACCGGCCGATTTTCTCTGAAAACTTTTGAATATTCAATGAATTTGCGTGTCAACAGCCGGGTCTAAATATGCACGGAAAAGGTAGCATCGCAATAGACGAGCAAAAATCGAGCGCAAATTTAAATTATGTGTATAAAAGGTAAAATTATTATCGAAAAAGAGGAATTATCGATCCCACACAAAAAGCGACTTCCGCACGTTACGGAAGAGTAAGCGAGTTCTGCCGCAAAAAATACGTTCCTACGACAGACTTCAATTCTTCAGCAAAAGTGGAAGGAACAGGAACTACATCAAACATTGATATTCCGTATAGATATGTAGATGAAAAAATCATGCATGCAGAAGCTGAAAGTTAATGGAATAATACGGAGTTTAAATGAACTTTCAACATCAGCGATGGAATAGTGGGGGTTAAGCGAAGATATTTGAAAAAATAACTCACAAGAATAAAACCCTCAAGAAAAAAGTCCCAAGAAGTAAGTCTAAATGACATACGGGATAGTTCTTTGTCAACGGTGATAATTGGAAATCGATACAGCGATTGAATCGCTTCGAAACACAAAGTTATGAAAACATGAATGCGAAAATAGCGGTAGATGAGATAAGACCAAAGCAGCACTTACAAAAAAAGGACGCTTTACTCACCAGTCCCCTTGTTCTACATCACTCATTTAAAACAAATACTGAATCATAGAAACATTGAGGACAAACATTACAGCTGGGAAAATATTGAAGTACATTTCCACAGCACGCAGAACAATTTTTCATATTTACTTCTTGTACATGGTAATTGTATCCAGCAGAAAAGGAGCCAAGTTCGTTAAGAAATTAAGTGTTTTGAACCATTTCATGTTGACCGATTTTAAATACAGCCAAAATTACGACGTATCAGCTTATTTGAGGCGAGGAAAAGAAAAGAAAAGTTTTACAAATGTGAAGCCTATTCTTGAAAATCTGCTTCATAAAAGTTGAAGCCTTCTGAGGAAAAAGGGTTCTTGACGCACGAATGATAACGGCTCAAATCTTGTAACTCAGGCCACTCTATTGAACGATGGCAGCTTTCTATCTCTGTTAGTTCCTCTAATTTCTACCGAAGTAAACGCCACGGAGTAGAGTTTTTTCAGACTTAAAAAGACCCAGGTACTTGATAGAAAGGAAAACAATTCCTTAAGGAGAAATAAGAAATATGAGAATGGAAACTGGCAAAAATATTAATAGAAAATATGAAAATGAAAATATTAATAACGGATCAACGACAAGTAGAGATGAGAAACTAATTTCTGTTTGCATTTTTTCTAATCGATAAGAAGCAGCCGAAGTCAATCCTAATTCGATTTCTCTGCAGCAACGTGCTCCTCTGCAGTCATAAGACTGCTAAATGTAGCGATTGCATGTCGCGATGGCAATCTTCCTGATAAATCGGCAAAAGTATGATATGAGGTTCTTATACGAGGAATGAGACATTTACCTTAGAAAATATAGCAGATGTATAAAAATGTTGGAATACAAGAACGAAGGATAGGAAGTTATGAAAGAATAAAGATCATCAAAGAAAACAAAATCTAGTTGCTTAATACTAAAATCGTAAGACCTAAGAATCTGATATTTAATTAACTAGCTAAGCTTCCAGCAGGTAGTTCTTCAGTTATTTAGATTTTGTCTGGCAATTTTTCCGATAAGCGAGCCTCTGAAGAAAGCACGCTGATAAAATCGGGAATGTTGCTATCTGCGTCACTAGGGCTTCTCAAGGTTATCAGGAACGTTGACTCAGAACACGCACGGCATCTCTTCCCGTTCGATTCGAGCTTATCACATACGCAGAGACAAGTAAACAAATCGAAAAAGACAGTTTTTTTTAACATCCCGCCATACCTTGGCTGTCTTTTGAAACAGCATAGAAAAAAGCATGACAGCCACTGTTTTTCATTGTTACCCTCAAGCTACAACAAATGCTTGCATTTAAAAAAATTGATAGACTACTAAAGCAAATTGTGTACTTAGAGCTTACTGAAAAGTGCTTCAATTATGTTTAATTGGAAGCGGGGATACTTTCAAAAATCGAAGAACGTTCACACAAAAACGGCGACATCAGCATCACCAGTGCATCTCGATGAATTCGAATCACATTTTGCTAAGCAGTGCTTCAGAACATGATCAATTCCACGAATAGCACCATTTCAGAGGAGCAATAACAAACTATATGCAGACAACACACGGAACCAAAGATCCAATCAAAGAAGCTTTCGAATGGAAAATATGAATTCGGAATTGAACGATAGAGAAACTACTCCAACAGCATCTAATGGACGGAATGACTCAAAGCCCTTTAGGAAGGAACAGCCCCAAAAAATAAACCCGAACAACCCCACCAAGTTGAGCTGGAGCATGACCGCTGGCTCGTTCATGTGAAGCTTGTCGTTGCCGTTTTACAAGACTTGGCAAATCACCAAGAAATGTGAGCGTTGCGGGACCACGCCACAGCAGCGGTCGGCGTCCTTTAATTACCGAGTTGCTTCAACTGAGTTGTTCATCCGTTGTTCTAAACTTCCTTTACCCAAGATATTAGCCTCGTCCAGAACATAAATGATTTTAATAGGATCCATTGCAGTATAGTTCCACGAGGAAAGCCTTTCTGGACTGTTCGTTTCGATTTTGTATAGTTTTTTTTNTTTTTTTTGTATTTCTATTTCTATTTCCCTTTGAAGACATATCGAAAGGAAATAGGCGGGAAAAGAAGGGAAGTAAAAAGTTCCCACGTGATCAATTACTACTGAGTTGCTCTTTTGGCGAAGTTTTCATTTAGTTTTTGTTTGCTGAGTGCCAAGTTTCCTAGCAAAGCCACTCTGGTACCCTTTTGGTTGGTGGGTAGAGTGATTACAAGCAAGTGTCCGGGTCCAGACAAAGAGCTGAAGTTACTGTACGAATCGGGCTCCCATCTTATAATTTCCTTTTTCTGTGTCATCAATAGATCTCAGGAAATTAATGTATGGGCGTTCGAATTCATTCGAATGATTATGAGAATTCGACTAAAAGGCGAATCCTTGGTGTTTATCAAATTTCGACAACGTTGTGTCCTTGGTGGCTCGAAACGGAGGGAAACGTGCTTGAATGATGATCAGCTGGAGTACGGTACCGTATTCGCCTGGATACCGTATCGTACCCTGACCAACCTTCGTTCAAGAATGTTCACTCTCTTCTTTCTAGCTACCTTGATCCATCTGCGTCTCTCTGAAGCGTATTTCGGGAAACAACATTACCATAGACTGCTAGAGATATTCTATGAATTCCTTGAATTTCAGGAACAGTGACGGTAAGAGGAAAATGATTTATTTGAAATGAGATCAGCTTCTTGATTGCTCAACAAAAAATTGTAGTGGACATGTCAAAATCTTCAATAACAGTTCAAAGATTGCGTAAAAATACTTACAAGGACCTCTCTAAAGAAATACTTACAAAAGGACCCCCTAAGACGAACAATCCAACTAAAGACAACTAGTAACCTCTGACAAAACAACTACTAGTTCGGCCTGGAGACGTTTTCACTGCGGTAACGGACGAGTTCCGGTCAAAGTTGATGTGACGAAGTAAAAAGACACGAGTTCCATTAAAACCAGTCTCAACCAGTGTTTTGTACCTGTAAAAGTGTAGACATTGGAATTTTAACAGCATTACGATGTCAGATTCGACAAAGGATGAAAATAGCTAATGCAAAAGCAAAAATCTGTGAATTTGAACCGCTGCGATTACTGTAAGATCATGTCCGCTCTATTTATAAGGAAATATTGGCACTACATATAATATTGAAGAAAATAAACCACAGTCTCATATTTGGTTGAACGTCACAACAAGTTTCCATTCACTATCAGCAGAACACATGAGATATAGAGCGGACGAGTTTCCTCGGTGATCTCTTGAGTTTATTCCTGGTATACCTAAGAGAATCTCTGCAAACAAACCAAGGGTACACACTACCTCTTTCCTACCCTAAGTAAACTGTAAATGTAAGTGTGCAAATGACCGCCCGACCTCCGACCGTTTTTTTACGAAGCTATTCGTCTTATACTGGAACCGATACTTTGAAGTGGGGCATAAGTATTAGTGAATCAGCAGTTAGTGGGGGTTATGCTGTGGTTGAACGGTGATACCGAAAAAGCAACGAAAGTAGGTATAGGATTGCAGTAGTAAGGAGTGATATTGAGTGATACGAGCAGATCTGGAGGTATTCTAGCGAATATATCAGACGTAAGTGAACGCAAATAAGGATCCTGCCAATCAAGTGAGGGTTCATTTGATCTAGTAAGGTAACGCATAGAGGCTGGGCTGCTACAAGGTAACTTGCGTACAGGTAAGGTACCGAACTTCAATACTGACTACCAATCCTTCTTTAGCAGTGAAGCCATTCTCAGCATGAAGCGGAATACTCGCAGGGGCAGTGCCGAAAGGGGCACAGGCAGCGCCGAAATGGGCAGAGGCAGTGCCGAAATGGGCAGAGGCAATGCCGAAATGGGCACAGGCAGTGCCGAGAAAGGCAGAGGCAGTGCCGAGAAAGGCAAAGGCAGTGCCGAAAAGGGCAGAGGCAGTGCCGAGAAGGGGTCGTCGTAAGTTCCACAACTGCGTGTTAATCGCATGAACTACTTTACCAATTTCAGCATAAAACCACAAAAAAAGAAAACATCTAAACTTAAAAAGAGCAAAGAAGGAAAACGCAGTTCAGCACATAAAAAGCGAACAAAACGGCGGAAGAAATATCGAGATACACTTTACAAGTTTACTCACCCACTAATTGTGAGTCTTCATTTCAAGTACTGCAGTTATTTCTTGAATACAATGAAAACCCCTTCCCGTGTCAGAAGCGCTCTGTAGGTTCATACTCTACATAGCTCTAAAAGGCTAAGCGCGTGGCGCAGGCGCACACTGCCGGACGACAGGTCAGGGCGCGAATTTTCCGCGCGACCATTCACGCGGCAGAAGGAGCGTTATGATGATATTATCACAGAATATTATCACAATTCAGATCCCCATCCTTTCTGAGGTTTCTCTTTTCTTATTGGCCTTTCTGTCAGCGGTACCTTTTCGTACTCGCTCCCTCTCCCACTTCCTCCTTCGTTAGTATCACAGGGCATTTTTCCGGGGGACGGAACATTCGCCCAGAACTGTATGGACGCGGCAAACCGCGCGGCGAAATTCGTGGTGNACGGGTTTCAAGTAGATTGGATAAGTAGGGCCAGCTGATGCTGCTTATCTATCCCACTTCAAATTTGTGCCCCAATGTTAGGCGCCAGAGTCCTTTTACCCACCACGAATTTCGCCGCGCGGTTTGCCGCGTCCATCCAGTTCTGGGTTAATGTACCCATACCCCATTTATCCAGATATACGGTCAAGTCGACTGACCGACAAACAAACTAATACTTCAAGTTGGTGGTTTACCCAGTTAACCTAATTCGAAACGCTCGATCAGCTTGATATTGCAACACCGTAAAAACCTGTTTGCTGATTGACACGGCATGGTGACATTATGTAAACATGTTTGTTTATGGAGATGAAAGACAATGGCGAAGTAGTAGTAAAGGGAAGTAACAAGAGTTGGGAAATCAATTGAAAGCCAAAAGCTCACTATAAGATTCGCTCCGTGCAGGATATTCGGCCTTGGGCAGGATTGAAACCCGAGCCTACGCTATCCTGCTCACCACTGCTAGCAGTACAGAATCTGCTCTTTGCGTCCCTATTTGAAGGGTACTCTGATTAGGTTTCCAACAACTTACAATTAGAGAAAACAGTAAGCAGTACAGAATCTTGTATTAAAATCGACGAAGACTTAAGACCAGCCCGAAACCAGTAACCCTCAACAACTACTTTATAGGATGTGGAGGCAACAATTGAGTCTGATTATGGAGAAGAAGGTAAACTGTAAGTAGTACATACAGTATTTCGCTACAACTGAACTCAAAAAAAAAGCAGAAATAAAACTGAGTAATTCCGCTTAAGCAAGGAGCTCGAAAAAACTAAACCTGAACAGCTATCAGCAGAAGCTGTAAAAGAAAAACCAAAGGCACCGTCCAAGCGTATCGAACCGAAGCCAGCAAGACCTCGCAGAAGGGTTAGAGAAGCATTCCCTTTTGATTTTAAAACGACAAAATTTTAAATTCTAAGACTAACAGCCTCTTACCCCACTTTTAAATTAGTAAATTAATCAATCCAGAGGTAAAAATGGTCTGGACCTATTTCAGAATAGGGGTATAAGAGGAATAGAAATCACTGAAGATGGACTGAAGTGAGTTGGTGGCAGGATTCACGAACTCCTGTAATAATCTCAATACAGTGCGATTCCAGACCAATAATATGGCAAACTCATTCGCTACGAGAGCGAAAAGTTCGAGCAATTACAAGGCCATTAGTGAAGAAAAGAGCATACTCAGAAAATTGGAGGGCAAAAATACAAAGGGTACGAAAAGAAGGAAAAGAAGACATACGAAAGCCTAGCCAAATAGCGAGTCAAGAACGAGAAAATGAGAAAAAGGTACTTTTCTGTCTGTAGGTTTTGCAAATAGGATTATAGAAGAATCAAATATAATGAAGATAATAAGACCTTCAGAGCTCCGTTCTGTTGAGGGGAAGGCGACAAATCGAAACCCCAAACACTTTTTCCTCTGATGAAGGAACATTCCCAGGAGCGTTCGTAGTGGGCACTGCACTGGGATTTCGATTTCAATGGAAAAGGTTGCATTGTGGCCTATACGATGACCTGGGTTGGCTAGCCGATGTAGAAGTCAGTGATTCTATCCTCCTAGACTGCATGGTACCAAATAACCGACTCCGGAGTGATGAAAGGCTTAGTTGGCCTGGGCTAGTTCCAATCTCAAGTTTCATTCCCCGAATCATGCGTACTTGATAGTGGGCCAGTTGCCGTTACACCACCCTCTTCCTTCACTCACCATAAAGGGACAAAACTAGGCGGAGGAAAACTCTGACGATAGAAGATAATCAGGCCATTTGAGCATCTCTATGATAACCTGCTGCTTAGTTTCAGGCAACGATCCAAATAGAAAAGCCGCCATCCTTCTGCGCCTCTCTCGTGCCGAATACAGCTCAGGATAACGGTTAATATTTTTTGTTTATTTTTTTGCAACCAAAACGTCATTCGAAGAGGAGTGTCTGTGTGATGTCAGGCGCTGAACTTGTTTACTCCACAATTTCAGTAACTTTCCGGCGGCTGAAACAGGTCGGGGCCGACTATTTTGTTGATCAAATTCGTTGCACGTCGCGTTCAGAGGGTTGTTGCGTCGGGGTCAAGACATTTCCTTTGGTCCCAAGTATAGATGACGGCAAACAGCAACCAAGTAGTATTTGCACATATCTTGAGGCTAAATGTAAACAAGGGGACTCCATTGATACAAAACAATTTCGGAATTCTAAACAGGTCAAAGGATGAGGATAAAGGTTTTGGGGTTAAATTTGAAGAAAAAAGAAAAAGGTTTGACCTATTGAGATGCAATTTTTGGAGTGGTGGGGTCATACTGAGCCCATTTTGGGGACGAGCAAATTCGTCGACGCTACGGTAAGCTTGCCCCTGCTCTTACAGCCCGAGAAATGGATAGCAGGACTACTAGGGGATAAAGCTGTCCATGTATATTTTTGCAGCCAACCCAGAAGAAGACGAAGGTAGCACCAAAATGTTCTTCGAAGAAATTAAAAAATGCGATGATCCACGACGAGTATGGATGGAACGAACGTTAACAAAGGTAATATCACTAAAATATGGAGCACATCAAGCTCTGGCAACACGTCAAGGAATATCTGAATTTTAACCAAAAAGCGATGGTTTTGTTTGACAGGGTTTGAACTATCAACTACGGAGGTTCAAAGACAATCGCCAGTACAAAGCACCTCATGCCACCACGCAAGCCAGTGATGCGAATCCTCACAAGGACAGGTAGGAATGTCTGCATATTTTCAATCACGACAGGCAGGCGGGGCTTTCTCAGGGGCGGAGCTGTTCTAGGAGGGTTCGTCATGACATTAGATCGTTGTAGTCTCACCTGAAAACCCTACCTGAGGAAGAGCACATATTAGATTTTTCGAGTAAACTTCGAACGTTCCGTTTGTATGATAAACGCCTTTTTCTCGAGAAAAGGCTGGAGTGGGTGGTTGAGTGAGTAGAGAGTTTGATCCTTTGCCACGCCACTACCACTCAAAGGTACCTGTAGTGGAACAAGGTTAAGAACTTATCTAGGAGCACTGACCAAAGACTTCCTTGATTTCCTGAAGGGGGAATGCAAGTAACCTATCTCAGAAGCCATCACTGTAGTGCACTGATTGAACTTCGTGGAAAAAGCTGGAACTGTTCAAAATTTTTTAAATACCAATTTGTTTCCCGAAGTGGAACATTACTATTTTATTTTTGTAAGCGTTTTTCCAGATATATTGATATAAGGTGTCTTGATGCAACCAGAGTCGTTCTCCGGGATCATCCATCAGACTATATCAACGCCAACTACATTGTATCACTTACTGGACGAATGTTCATATGTACACAGGTTCACCGGCGTTTCTTTGGTTGACGATCAGTACTATCGGATTCGTGGAGTGTCTTCAAAAGTGAACTTTAGGCTCCAATGGAGATAACAAAAGAAGATTTCTGGAAAATGATCGTACAAGAACGTTGTCGTACGATTGTTATGATATGTAGCGAAAGTGATGGTAAGCTACCGATAATTACTCAGTTGCAAGGAGTGGGGCTTCAGGGAGAGAAATATTCCTCAGTAGTCCACCCACTCGAGCTGTGGCCGTAAAATCAGCCATGTAGTGGGACTAGAAGAGAACATTCCGCCTTCCCCTCAAAGGCACAGTTCACGATAAAAGTAGTTCCTAAGATTTTTCATAGGATGAATTCGAGATCCACTCGTATACCATATCTGGCACTATTAGGTCGGAAACCGGTTTAGTTAGGGAGTTATAAAGGCTCAAAGATTGGCTCGTGTGCGTCCTCGGACGAGTTTCACTGGTCTTGTAGAGGCTGCACAGAACACAAAGAAACCCGTGTAGGAAGTTCGAACAACTTGCCATGACCCATAGCTGCAGTGAAAGGCAGTTGTGTACAGTTCTGGCTTGATGTAGTCAGCTCTTTGTGCAATTGCAACAACTGAAATCTCGTCCGAATACCCTTTCCATGTTATTCCGTCATGGTAATCTCGTCCAACCTCTATTTTCCCTGCTTTTGAAGAGCCTTATTTTTTTTGAAATCGGCGAATTTTCTCGTTTAGTCTTAGCTGTTAATAAGGGATGTAGCCAATCGCCCCTGCCTCTTGGTATCCAGAAACAGTACGTGGGCCAATGGAATAGCATTTTAGTTGATCCCATCTAATGCAGTAGCTTGCTATATTGTTTGCGCGCAGGCTGGAGTCAAGTAAAAAAGAGCGCTCTGCCTTATTCACTTTTCGAAACGCACCGCGCACATTACTCTCCTCGAGAATGGCATTCCGCCTATGCACTGGTTCTTGAAATCATTTCATATCAGAAGACCCTTCAACGGTGAATTGGGTAGAAAACGCAGACACTCCAGCTTTCGATTGTTGCCAGCATTTACCAGATTTCATCCAGGGCATACCACACATTGCCACTGTTTTGCTACATCAACCATGCTTCACCCTACTTAAAACTGATTGGATACATTGAAAAACTTATCGTGAGCCGTTGGAACTATCCTGACGAGCTCCACTATTGCAATCATTTGATCGAAAATGGGTGTGAGAGTACACGGACATTACTTTTCAGTAATTTTTGTTTAATAAAAGCTGTTAACTGATTTGAGAAATGAATCAAACGTTTGGTTATTTCAGAGAACATGAATAAATGCATTAGTTACTATCCATCACGTCTCGGTGAAAAGGTGATTGTGGGAAAGACAACGGTAACTTCAATATCACAGACCATCTCTGGCAACGTGGGCTATACAACTTCAATATTCGAAGTGGAACATTCGTGAGTTACGGGTATGCAGGAGACGATTCTGGATGAACCTTTATTGCCCAAATTCAGGCAGACTCGATTCACGCTATGCCATATACACTGCACAACATGGCCTGATCATAGCGCCCCAAAGGAGTGCGGTTCAGTGATAGCTATTCACAGATTACTTTGGAAGAATGGCACATGCAGTCCTATCGTCGTCCACTGTTCAGCTGGAATTGGAAGGACCTGTACACTCGTTGGTTAGCATCGGTACCATTTCTCGGTGTGCATGCTCAAAATCAAAAATGAAAAAGGAAATTTTGCACGTTTGCTCCTTTTCCCACAACAGGGCCCAAGGTTTTCTCCATCGGTCGCCTAAATTACTGGAGCTCTGAACCACCGGAGCGTTTAACATCTCCTTTCCATTCTATATTCCCCCAAATTTTGATGGCCGTATCCTGATTATCCTTGTTTTCTCCGAGGAAATTCTTCCTCCCATCTTCTCGATCGACTCGATTCTGAGTGAAACCCAGCACTAATCGTACCCATTTGTGATGATAGAAAGCAGTGAGCCTCAGCATACTTTTGGTGAGTTATCGGCAAGAACTGGCCCATAAGACCGCCCGACCAGCCAGCGGTGTGAGCTGAAG